GCGGCTCCCCGCTTATGCAAATGAAGCCCGGGAAATTCAAATCCCGGGCTTCATTAGCAAGTGCGGTATGCCTACATTACCCCGCTAGTTCGAACTAGGAGGGTAGTGTAGACATACCCTAAAAGGGTGTCACAAGGCGAAAGGAGAAAACTTGTTCATCTTGGCCTCTGGGGATAGAACAAGAAGCAATGGGCTTAAACTGCAGCAAGGGAGGTTTAGGTTGGACATTAGGAAAAAGTTCCTGCCTGTCAGGGTGGTCAAACACCGGAATAAATTGCCCAGGGAGGTTGTGGAATCCCCATCTCTGGAGATATTTAAGAGTAGGTTAGATAAATGTCTATCAGGGATGGTCTAGACAGTATTTGGTCCTGCCATGGGGGCAGGGGACTGGACTCGATGACCTCTAGAGGTCCCTTCCAGTCCTAGTATTCTATGATACCACACACTGCAAACTGGAGGCCAGTGTTAAGTGCACTGTTACTGGCTTTGGAAAGTATCTACCAAGATAAACTGGATCTAAGTAGTGAGGCTGGTGGATTATTTTTGCTACTGTAACCACCAGCGGACAAATTTGAACCTTGGACCTCTGAAGCAGAGGATAGGAGCCTCTACCCACTGAGCTAAAAGCCGGCTGGCTCCCAGCCCGTGATGCAGAGGTCTCTTGAGCTTAGCTGTTGCTATGGTCTAGAGAAAGACATACTACCATTTTATCGTTTACCACACAACTGTAGGAAATTACAGATCCAGAAATGTTTTCCTTATATTGACTTAACATATACACATCATGGGTATGTCTAGGCTACAGGCTTCTGTCGACAGAAGTTTTGTCAACAGATACTGTCGACAAAGCTTCTGTGACAAAGAGCGTCTAGACTACAGCCAGTTCTGTTGTCAAAGCAAGCCGCTTTGTCGACATGAGAGTGTAGACGCAAAGGACAGTGGAGATGCAGTAACGCCTTCTGTCGACAGAACTCTGTTGACAAAAGGCGTTATTCCTCGTAGAATGAGGTTTACAGCCATCGACTGTAGGGGCAGGGCTGGGTGCACTGAGAGAGCACGCTGGGTACCCAAGGCTGGCATAGCGGGGAGGGGGCAGAGAGGGCAGGGAATTGGGAGGGGAGGGGCGGGGCAGGGAGGAGGCAGAGAGGGGAGTGAATGGGGAGGGGCAGGGAGGAGGCAGGGTACCCAAGGCTGGCATAGCGGGGAGGGGGCAGAGAGGGCAGGGAATTGGGAGGGGAGGGGCGGGGCAGGGAGGAGGCAGAGAGGGGAGTGAATTGGGAGGGGCAGGGAGGAGGCAGAGAGGGGAGGGA